AGTTCCCCCAATCCCCCAGACCTCTCAAACCTGCTGATGAAGACTGTTTCATGTAGGTTATTTCATGATCTCTTCGCAGGGAGTTTCTGTATAGAATCAAACACGGGCGATCCTTATTCTTTCCTTAATTTGGAGAGGAATTCCAAGGAGTCAATCCCTTCACTAGTTCTATTTCAGCCGCATTGACTCCTCAAAGAGCAGAGCCGTGCTCAGTCTGTTGAATTTGGAACAAGCCTTATGCTCCTGGATTTACCCACAAATGCAGTACAGTAGGTGGTGTGTGTAGTATTTATAATAGCAGTACTTCTCCCAAACCTCCCAAAATTAAGTAAAAGTGGTTTTTCTTTGGTTAATGATACATAGACCCATTACCCAATCCCAACAGGGACATTTAAATAAGACTTTTCTGGTAAGTGATAAAAAGGACTTTCTGATAAGCAGTTTTGGGTAATGAAGGAAAAGGTTTGGGAAGCACTGATGGATAGGCTCAGGATAAACATACTCTCACTGACCCATGATTGACAGCCATCAAAACCTTGGTTGAAGTATAGCAATAGCAATAACATTTTAGGCTTATACACCGTCCCATAGCGCTTTAATAGCATTCCTTGGGCAGTTTACAATTATTTGCATATTGCTCCCAGCAATCTGGATCTTCATGACCTCAGAAGAATAGAAAGCTGAGTCGACCTTGAAGGATCGAACTCCAGGCAGAGTTTGTCTGCAATACTGCTCTTTAACCACTGCATCACTCCTCTAGAATGGAGGTAGTCATGATAGAGCCAGATATCAAAGGCAGTAGTGTCTGAATCTTATATTAGGTCAAGTGGTGTTATGGCTATAGAGGCTCTGGGGTGCATTCTTTAGGTCAGTGGTTCTCAACCTTTTTAATGCCGTGACCCCTCAACCGGTCGTAAGTCGATGACTACCCAACCGGTCGTAAGTCGAGGACTATCCAACCGGTCGTAAGTCGAGGACTTGCCCGGGAGCGCCGCACATGCGTGGTGCCACCTCCTGCGCCAGCTGAGCTGTAGCTGGCAAGCGGCAGAGACGGAGCAGGCCGACCACCAGCTGGGCCACCAGCTGGCCCAGCCCAAGGGAGGTAAGGCACCCGCCAGACCCCACGTGTGCCAGCAACCCTCCCTGCACCTGCTGGCCTCCCACTCCTGACCCTCTTTTACTTACATTTTTAGTAGTTGCTCAGCAGGGAGGGGTGGAAACTTCCAGACAGCTCGCCTTCACTGCAGACAACTTGCAGCACCGTTTGCAGAATGGGACTTTTGGCGGGCTCAGCAGGGCAGAGACAGCCTGGACAATTCCTATTGGCTTTTGAAAGCCAATAGAATTAGACTCTATTCAAGAGAGTCTATTCTGTTGGCTTTCAAAAGCCAATAGAATAAAAGGGAGTAGTACAGCTAAGGAAAAGGGGGAAAAATGGTGGACTGCGTTGTTTGGCAACCCCCGACAAATGGTCGTTCGACCCCAAATGGGGTCCCGACCCACAGGTTGGGAAACGCTGCTTTAGGTAGTAACATGGCTGGAGAGTTTCAGTGTGGATCACTCAGATGATTACTATCAGGTCTTCATGTAGGATGCCTCACTCAGATGTAGGATGCCTCACTCAGGTATGCATGGCTGCAAGTCCTGTACTGTATGTCAGCAAAGTGATGTGACCAGTGATTTACTCTAAAATGTGATAATCATGAGTCGGTGTCTGAGGAGCACCATTTTTTCCTCACCTCTGATCATACATATCTTGAGTAGTGAGTGGCTAGCTATTGGTAATCTGGAGGGTTAGTGAAGGTACAAGTCAGATTCTTATTGAAGGATATGAGTTAACAACTAGGTTTGAACAATGAGTTAGCATGTCATCTTTCCTGGAGAGTAAGTCCCCTCTTGCACTGCATGTTGTTTGATGAGTAAGAAAGTAAGAATTAAGTTAGTAGTTTTGCCAGATTTAATAAACTAATGCACCAAACAAAAGCATGTCTTCTATCATGCTTTAACTCTGGTTTGCTCAAGTTAGCTGTCTGAGACAACAAAATATATGTTGGGGCCAATGTAGCTGTGTAAAATAAATCCCATTTGTTTTGAACTGTAATAGAATAAAATTCAACTTGAGCATTCTGTATTCTGCTGGTGTAAAATCTGAACTGTTTTTAAGTGTTCTGGTCATAGAAAACAGAAGAAATTAGGGACTAGCTGTAACTCCCTTGCTTTTCACTCCACATCTTCAAGAAAAAGTAGTGTGCTGAGGGTCTTCCTACCAGTCAGACTACAGAAAATTTGTCTTAGGGGGATGGTTTTTAAAACATTCTTGAAACTATTAGAACAATTTTCAGTCGGAAACAACAACAAAACCTATTCTGATCTCACCCACTGAAAAGTTTTCTTAAGTGAGAATCTGTTTTCAAAACATTTCTCCACCAAACCCTCCCCCCCCCCCAAAAAAAAAGAGAGAGGAAAAAACAGAAGTGTTTTTAGATTAAGTAAATCTGGATTGCACAACCCACAGGTTATAAAACAAAGAGAACGGCTAGTCTCTTCTACATTCCTTTCAATGAATACATCTTCCCTATGACATTTTGGGAACTCTTTTTGGTAAATACCTGACTTAGTTAGGAAGTCTAAACAACAGATTTGATGAACTTTGTATTGCAACCAGTTTGCCAATCACAGGCCCAGCTTGAACAACAACATTGTTTGGTTCTAATGTTTTACTTTACTCACAGGGATGATTGCTAGCTGGGGGTGGGGGGTGGGGAGGCAGTTCATGCATTTCTCCAGGAAGTTGCCAAGGGTCAGGAGTGACTCAAAGGCATTCATATACAACCCGCATGCTTTTTAATTACACTACCGTAATAATTTTACAACAGTAAGATAAGAACATATGAAAAATGTACACACATTCCAAAGCTCAACAAATGTATCCAGGTTAATATAAAATCTTTTCAATAACAAATAGACATTGAAGTTCCATATCAGCATCTCACAGAGCATGGGCAGAATTCACAAGCATGCCAGTATTTTAAAACAATAACAACAAAAAGCAAACCCTGGATGATCAGCATTAAGGATAAAAGATTGAAAGCACAGGACCCACAGCTGTGGGTAAAAGCAATTCTTACTTCCATGTGACTAAATAACTTGCCTTCACCATAGCATGATGTCTGGTGCTTAACATCTTTTTTGTTTGTTTTCTTTTGTTTTTAAACACTGGCCCCTACTGCTCTATTGTGTAAGCAGGAAAAAAATTGAAAGAATCAACCCAGTCATAAGTCCCAAAATAAATCTGTATTGTGAGAGCCACAAAGAACTTCTATTGTGTGATGTTTTATAGAACTTACGGCTGCTTCTTAATTTTATTTCTGATTAGCTTTCCGTAAACTGGGAGAGAAGAAAATTTTAAAAAGTGTTAAAATGTTGCTTCTTTTTGAAGACTCATTAATGCACACACAAATGAACAACCTTGTGTTAATAAGTGGCTTTTCATCCAAAAAAACCCCCTGCTTTGAACAACTTATAAGAGAGATGTGCCTATAATAAGGAAAGAAGAAAAGAAGAATTTTGGAGGTCATGCTGCTGTTTCCATTTTTCTATAAATGTTCCCTTAGCCAACTGTATAACAGTTCCTCTTTCTTAGTATTAGCACATAACCGAGAACTTTCATAACTGTGGGGAAAACTATTGGCACAATTGCACTGAGTTGATGTTATTTTGGCTTTCATACTGTATGTAAATACTGGATAATTCATTTCTACTGCATATTCATTATAAGAAACAGTTTCTTGAACAGAAAGCATTTTGCAGACTTAATAGCAGTTAAAAAAAATAGAGTGGACCTGTTATGTCAGAAGCTCAAAGAAAAATGGGGTGGAGTTGTTTAAGTTATATACATTTTTTTTTTTTTGTATAAATGTTGATCTTGCTTTTTTAATGCAAGAACACATTGATTGCAGGAGATGCCTCACAGCTTTAGGCTTTTTTTTTTTTTTTTTTTTTTTGCTATATAATGGGACCAGATTAAGATTGCGATTCTCACTATCTTACTATCTTTTACTAAACCATGTATGAGATGGTGCTGTTCAGCTGTCTTTATTTTACTCACCTCACCCATTGGAGACTGCATTACTTTTTTATTCCCCTTTTTATAGGCCAGATGATTTCTCACTCATGTATACAACTGAAAACTCACTTTTTTTTTACATTTCATTTCATTGTTGTATTATCCTAGAATTCAGCATTTCAAGATACTTATTTTACAAGACTTAATTTAATGTACGATTTGTTTCAGTTGATATTTTAATTGCTTCATACCTCAGGAGCATTATCTAATGTTCCTAATTAAAATAATGTTTCTGGTCAGAAGCTAACTCACTGTAAATCTGGACAAGCCTACAAATACACAATGATTAATGGTAAAACTAGTTAGTTTTATCTAAAACAAAAAGCAAGATGCTTTGACATTGGAATAGACTGAAATATTTTAAGGCGCATTCATTAGTATTCCCAATTTAAAGGATCCCGGAAAATGTTACTTAGCCCGCTCAGTCTTCTACATATTTTTCTGTATCTGGCTTTAGTGTTCAACTATAGTTCTCTGACTGAAGATGGAAAATGATAGTTTAGTGTTGGTTTACTAAGATCTTCAATCACATTTGTAATCATAATGTTCCTATTAAGATGCTGCCTAGCACCTGGAATTAAACTACAGTACAGGTCTTCCTTTTAATTGTAATATTGAACTGAATTTAAACTACATAGGACTGGAAACCATGGGTTGAAGAATAAATGTATCCACAGCTCATTCTCAGCCTATTAAACTATAGTTTAAGACACTAAGTAGAGGGAAAAGACCATTGTCATCTGTTGTCCAACTTTTTTAAAGGAAGACCTCTAGAGCATAACTTACTTGTAGATAGATAGATAGATAGATAGATAGATAGATAGATAGATAGATAGATAGATAGATAGATAGATAGATAGATAGGCAGGCTTTATTGTCATTTTTTTTACTGTGGGCACAATGGCACACATTAAAAATGAAATTTAGTTGCTTGCTCTCAAAGTGTACACAATAAGATGAAATTTGATGAAATGATCAGATGAAATTTGTATTACAAACCATGCAATGTTCTTGCCCAGACTTGATTTGTTGGTAAAATGTTGAGATTTAGGAGAACATTTTATAGAGGTAACATCAATTGATCACTCTCTTTACTAGCTCTACTGTAAGATAATGATCCAGTTCTCCAGAAACTGTCATAAAGATTAGTGTTTGTAGCTCGATGTTTAACAAAACAAGAATAGTTCTCAAGTCCAAAGGAGGTGTTGACGTGTTTATTTAATGTAATTTCCCGGAGGATTTTCTTTTTTAAAAAAATCAGCTGTTGTAAATATTTTAACATTTTGGAAGAACCATTTTTTATTTAGCTGGAAAATAAGTATATATTTTCAGGTATTCAGCAACTTAACAAAAAGTAATATCATCAGTACCCTAATTTCCAAATTCATAATACTGTAATTTATATAAATATTGATTGCAAATACTGTTACAAACTACACATTTTCCTTACTATATTCTTATTTTTCTTTCTTTACTTTCTTTTCCACACTTTTTCTGTTGATTCTTTTATTTTTTAATTTCTATTAGTTTTTTTATGTTTTTAATTGTGATGTTTAATAAAATTATAATAAAAGTAAAACAATCAAAAACATGGAACTTCCTAACTAGCAATATTTTCAAGATCAAAGACTTCAGATTGCAGATGATAAAATTAAATGAACTGCCAAGAAACATTCTGAAATAAATTCAAAACTTTTAAAAACTGTTTCAAGAGAACCAGGTTTATGTGGGATTACAAAAATGTGGGAAATGCAGTTTATAATGTTTGTTCTGCAGTTGAACAGCTCGTTTTTGAATGCCAATAATACTTAAAATGAAACCAAGCTTACCTGTTCACTAGTATGCTAGATTTCAACGTTATAAATAACCCACATAATTAATTGCATACAAACTGTAACTTAGAAAATAAGCTAAAGAAACGGCAAGTGATAAGAGGGGGAAAATACGATATTGTGTTTTATGCAAAAAATTAGCCTTAAGGCAAGTAGGATGTATAAGGTGTCATTCTCAGAATGGATACACATTGGGGAAAAAACAGGAATTTCTAATTGAATCAGGCTGTGGTCCAGTGACACTATGTTTAGTTAATTAAAAACAACTTTAAAGGCATTTGTTTCCTAACTAACGAAATGAAGGTTTTTTAAAAAATTTGAAAAAATTGTGTTTGAGAAAACTGATTGAAAGTGATTCACCGCTAAGTGGGGACTGTGGGTTTGAACTTGAGATCCAGAGTTGTTGCTGAAAGATGTTTGTACAGATCTCACCAGACTGCAGTCCTGTGGTTAAAATAGAAAGTCATGACTAATATTTGTATAACTGAAAATTGAAACTGAACACTATTTGACAATTGAATGTAGGGCATTTTGTTTATGGTTTCATTTCAACATCACTTCAGCTTGAAAATCCTAGCTTAATTAAGAGCTATACGAACAAGCAGTTATTCCATCTGTTAGAGTTTACAAGTGCAAACGATATGTGCGCTTAAGCAGATTCCAGGTAGTCCTTGACGACCACAATTGAGCCCCAAATTTTTGATATTGAGACATTTTTAAGTGAATTTGCCTCATTTTATGACCTTTCTTGCCACCATTGTTAAGTGAATCACTACAGTTGTTAAATGAATCTGGCTTCCCCACTGACTTTGCTTGCCACTTTGCAAAAGGGGTCACATGACCCCAGGACACTGCAACCGTCATAAATGTCAGTCAGTTGCTAAGTGTCTGAATTTTGATCACATCACCATGGGGGTGCTGCAAAGGTCATAAGTATGAAAAATGGTCAAAAGTCATTTTTTTCAGTGGTTGTAACTTCAAACAGTCACTAAATGAACTGTTGTAAGTCAAGGACTACCTATACACATTTTTAGAGATGCCTTATCAACATCCTGGGACATTTACTTGATCCCAGAGATTTGAATGATCCAACAATATTATCCTCAAACTTGCAGCCATTGAAGCACCCCATATTCATATCACATTTCAGGTATTTGGCATGCATTTACGACGGTCATAGCAATCTGATCACATGATCTCAATTTGCGGCCTTTACAGCTGGCTTCTGATAACCAAAATCAATAGGGAAGTCACAAGTGTGGCCACGTGACATGTTTAACTACTATAGTGATTCACTTAACGACTACAACTGAACTGCTGTCATAAGTCTGGCACAGTCACGTTTCATTTTTTTTTTTGCTCCATATCACTTAGCGATGGAGTTGCTGCTCCCAATTGCAGTTGATGAGGATTATATTTCTGTTTAAGGCTTCCCAGAAATAAGATACAATGTTTGAATCAGACATTATTTTTAACTCAGTCCTGTTACTAATTTAGTGTGGGAAGTAATTTAGCAGAAATATTCCTCTTTAATTTATTTTACACTAAAAATGTCTGTGGATTCTTTTAAACATTATCTGCAGATAGTCCTCACGTTATGACCAGAACTGAGACTGAAATGTTGGTCATTAAGCAAATTATCACACGACTGGACCTCTTTTATTTTTATTGCAGTTGTTAAGTGAATCATGCAGAGATTAAGTGAATCTAACTTCCTCAGTTGACTTCTGGCTTGTCAGACTATGGGAAAATCGCAATTGTGACTGCAAGACCCTGCAACTGTAATAAATGTGAGCTGGTTGCCAAGTGTCCAAATTGCAATCATGTGACCACAGGGGTGGTGAGACAATCATAACTTTGACGATATATCATAAGTCACTGTTTACAAAGCTGTCATAACTTTCAACTATTGTTAAACAAATGATTGTAAGTCATTTGGTAGGAGCTACCTATAGCTGTCTTCATAACTAAATAACTGTTCCAAACAGAAATGAATCTTTGAGACAATTACTGATTTTGTTTTTATTGACAGCATCAACAAAGAGAGCATTGTTGACATTGAAGGTGTAATAAGAAAAGTGCCAAATAAAATTGGCAGCTGTACCCAGCAAGATGTTGAACTACACATTCAGAGGGTAATATTTTTATAAACAAATTAAGATGTGCCGTGATATCATTGTTTCTTGTTACTACTCCCTAACTGCTGTCCTTTTGGTTTACTTTTGTAAATAACAAAAAAAACACCCTCATTTGTGCCGCAAATTCAACTGAAATAGAAATAGAAGTCAAAATATAAGGCAATGAAGATTTGCTTTCACCTGTTCTAAATTGGTTTCTAACAATAACAAAATATATAGGCTCTGTTTTTCTGTAGATATGGCTACTTCAGAAGATATATAATGTAATATAAACATTTGCATCCTCAATACAAGTCACTTAAATTCCAGCTGTCTTTTAAACAATTTCAGAAAGTGTAACAGTTTTTCCTCTAGTAGAAATAATGGGAGAAGTCCAAGCTCCCAGTGAAGTGAAAAGCAAATACATAAGGAACCTTTTAGGAATTTTGCAATAATGGGGGTGAATTATGAGCACACCTGCAAATTTGCTGCCTAGGTGGGACTTATATGTTCATAGAATGACTGATGTGGGGGTAGTCAAGCACAAAACACTTGCATTCGGGGTGGTGAAGTTGGCTTCATGCCAACTCCGCCAGCTCATAATAAAGTTCTGTATTACTGCAATTTATCTTTGCCTTTTTTCCTGGACAAATTCAGTCATCTGTCATTGGAACAAAAGTCAGTTCTAAGAATATGTCAAGAGAGAGAGAAAGGAGCTATCTATCATTTATTGAAGCAGGTTCCTAAATATTTAGTCATTCAGATTATGAACTTATTTTTTCTTTTATTTATTTTTTCTTGCCCTTTTGTTCCTATGTTTTCCCCAGGAGATTTCTATATTATTTGTATATAAGTTTATGTTTATACTTTACATTTTAACAGGACAGGCAAATTATAATTCTGTTTAAGACATCAGCTGCTTCTCTTTCACTCAGCTGCAACAATATTTATCTATTCATTTTTGCTACATCTGAAACTGATTTTGTAGTTTCAAAACAGTTCAGTGCTTTCAGGACCGTTATTTTTTAAGCAATTAAGTTGGGTTAATGTCTTTCATTATACAGTTTTTGGATTTTATTTTTAAAAGCGCTATCTTTTTATTAAATAATTATGTTAGAAATATGAAAACTAACCAGATACAGGCGGACCTCAAGTTACGACATAATGAAGCCTGTCATCATGGTACTAATTCATGACAGTCATAAAATGGGTTGGTCACATGATTTTATAGCCATTTGTGTAACATTTGTTAAGAAAATGTTGTGGTCATTCAGTAAATGTCTCTGTTGTTAACCAAACCAACGGTTTACTATGCAGATCCGGTTTTCTACAAAAACATCATCAAACACGGTCATGTGATCATGCGACCCTGCAAACAGCTGTAAATGCTGAGTGCCCAAAGTGCCGTCATGTGACTGCGAAGAGGGCTAACTGTCAAAATTTCAAATACAGGACGCAGGTCCTCCCCAGGTAGATCCGTCGGAATTTCAGTCACTAAACGACTGGTCATAAGTCAAGGACTACCTGCAAATGCATGTTGCATCTTTTTTTTTTTTTTTAGTCCTCCATAGTCTTTTAGTAATTGGCTTAGCTTCATATTTCTGACAGAACCATGTCTCTCTAAAGCACACTGTAGTTCCTGCCGTGCATTTATTAATTATTTATACATTTGCATCTCTTTCAGATATATGTAATCAGTTTGGCTGAACCGCGATTGCCCTTGCAGCTGGATGATGCCATTCGTCCAGAGGTTGAAGGAGAAGAGGTGAAAATGTGTTTTCTAATAAGTAACATTGTATTAAAAATAATAAATGATTAGCCAAAGGCTTGAGATTTTAGCTGCCATTAATAATACTGTTATGTTGAACCCTGAATGTTGGCCCATCCAGGATTATCTGCTTCCTAGTTCATAAATATGGGAAATAATTTTTATTGCTTGATAACACATAGTGACCTGGCCTTAAGCAATGTCTAGTATGTCAAGATTTTGTGCACAGAGTGTGCTCCATGTTTATCTCCTGGTAATATGGAAATGTTCTCACAATTACTGTCACCTTATAAATTGAGCAGGACTTAGATTAATAAGGAAATTTTTATAGATACAGACATGTTCAGAACGGCCTTTCTAAACAGAAATTTCACTTCAAAGGGGACTTAATTAATCTTAAGGGAAAATGTATGTTTGAATTTTCTTGTATGTGTGTTCAGGGAGCAGTCTAAAAGACAACAGTTCTAGTTTTTTAAAATTAAAGTAATTGAAAACTAACCCTAAGAAATGTTCTGAATATAGTCCAGAGGACAGTGGTTGAAAAAAGAAGTTTTAGAATTGGAATATTCTTAAAGGTTAAGAAAAAAAAAATTCTGAGGCAAGTATCAAAAGGGCCATTGTGGGATCTTAGACACAGTGAGGTTTATTTGGTTTTAAAATATTTCAAATGGCCAAAACGTCATGAGAATGCTGAAATATGGCATAGTCTTTTTTTCACCTGCAGTGTTGCAAAATCTCATAAGATTGTAATCAGTTAGTAATTTGTACATTCAGTGTTTACATTGGTTCACAATCCAAGATGTTGCAGGTACCAAGCTTGCAACACATGCTTTAAGATGAGAGTGGGGAAAATATGCTCCTTCAGATGATGTTTTGCATTTGTCCCAGCCAGTATGAGCAGTGATATGGCCTGCTGGAAATATAGGTCTATAATGGATCTTAATTAGTGGAGAGATATTTTTTCTATTTAACAGGTTTTCCATCTTTCGTTTTTGTTGTCAGAGTTTGATTTTGGTCTCTGTTTAAAAGGCCCTTTAAAACCTGGTTGTTCCCTAGGCCTTGGGTTAGGTGCAGTGGTGAGCCCCTGGTGGAAATGCTATTATTTGAGATGACATTGGTTTTTATTTCTTCCTGGTGCTTATTTTTCTCCATTTAAAATTTGTTTTTAATAGTTTGTACCATCAGAATTGCCACATAAACTAGTGGATTTATAAGTTTGATAGCTGACTGATTGAAATCTCTTGGAGATTATTAATTGGACGTTCTAATTCTATAGCCTGCTCAAAGTTTAACCTCTCTATTCTCCACTTGAGACTGGAGATTAGGATGATAGAACCAACATACATCTGTTACTTGATTTTTTTCACATTGCATTTCTGATTTAACATTTAAATATCAAAACTGAAATACAAGAAGCCCTCATTCAGAAATATATTTTCCGAATATCTATATACAATATACAATATATAGACCACATGGTTACATTTCTTGATACTGTAAAGTCAAGCACTCTTAGTGTGTTAAGATACTTACTAGGTACAGTAGTCCTTGTTTAGTGACTGCCTCATTTAGTGACAATTCACAGGTCTGATGGTGATGCAAAAGTAACTTTACCACCAATCCTCGCATTTACAACCTTTGAGGGTCTCTAAAGCAAAGGAAAGCTGAGCTAAGGTCAAAAGTCCAGTTGTAATTTCACTGTTTGCTTAATAATCAAGTTGCTGGTCCCAATTATGGTTGCTAAACGAGGTCTACCTGTTTCTGGGTCTTTGGATACTAAATATCTGTCATATTTTATGTCCTGGACATGCAATACAGTCAGCATTTCTTACGCTATAAAATATTTTGCTTTCTCCCTTTTTCCTACCTGTGGTTTCCAATATTTGTTTCTTTGCAACCATTCAGGAAGGAAGAGCTACAGTGAACCAGGATACAAGATTGGACAATAGAGTTATCGACTTGAGGGTAAGAATCCAATGACGTGGAACCGATCAAATTGTTCAAAAACTGGCAAGAACAGTATTGTAAAAATGTATCTTTCAAAGGATGCATAATACCTTGTTATAAAGACATTTTACCTAACTGTAATGAAAAGTGTGGATTGCACAAAAATATTACAAGATTTTACTAGCTTATCTGTTATATTAGCCTAATTAAATTTTCTGTGGCACCTGAACAGATTGAACAAAATTTACCCAATCTCCCTTTTTTGAAACAATTTTGCTAAAATATTTCTATGCTAGATCCTTCAAAATGGTTAGTTTCTCAGCTGACCAGTTGAAACTAACCAGATAAGGTATTATATCATCTCTTCCAGTTTAGTTGAAACTATATGATATTCCCATCATTAATGTAATTAACTTAACTAATCTTAATTAATTAGCATATTCTTTTCAATAATCAAACCTTTAATGACTTTGGCATAATTTGTTAATTCTTTTCCTGGATACCATATACCATTTAGTTATCTTAATAGAGCAGTGTTTCTCAACCTTGACAATTTTAAGGCATGTGGACTTCAACTCCCAGAATTCCACAGCCAGCAATGCTGGCTGTGGAATTCTGGGAGTTGAAGTCCACATGCCTTAAAATTGTCAAGGTTGAGAAACACTGAAATAGAGACATCCAATTTTATTTAGCTGTTTCTGATGCTCTACATGGGGACAGTGAAATAGAAAATTTATGTAGAGTAACTTCAAGGTTGAATATATAAAGAAAATTGTATTCATAACTGAAAGCATTCATAAATATATGTGCATGAAGAATAGGTGTCAGGAAGCTGCATTATGTAAATTGTACAAAAGAGAAAAGTGATTCATTACCAGACTTCTTCAACTATATGAAAACCTCTCTTCTTTAATCGAATTAAATGATATTATGTTTAAGTTGGTGTCAATCATAGGATATTTTGATGTATTTAAATAACTATAATCTCTCACAATTATTACGGTACATTTTCAATTAAAAATTAATATTCTTTATAACCTACTCATTGCATTCTTCATCTAAGAATGAAATATATCTCAAAGGACATTGACAGTTATTGTAGTTTTGTTTGTTTTTTTGGTTTAGTCAACAAACATCCAAAGAGGTAGGCATTCCTTTATTTACATGAGGGGTTTTGTTTCACATTCTTAATATACTCATTAATTGAGATAGCTTACTATTAAATTTGCAGTAGTCTTAATGTTAATGTATTTATACTTGTGCTTTTGAATTATTGTAAGTTACCCAGAATCACTCAGGACAGTGAGATGGGTGGAATATAAATTAATAAATAAATATATTCTAAAATTACAATGTAATCATGAGGTATTAAAATTTTCCCAACAGAAGGAAACATTTCCTGAATAAAAATAATTTTGGTAGCTCACAGTATACAGTTAAAAAGTATGATAAAGTCATCTTCACATCAACTTACAGGTGTCTTCATGAAAAGATGTCCATGTTATTTTCTTAGCTGCAGTATGACATACAATTTGCCATTGCTTTCTTCTCTTATATAATATCTTTAGAACTTCCTTAAATAAAAATAATTGTTAAAAATGCCTGAAATTATGCATTAGAAATTAGTATTCCTCTGATTGTGAGATTTCAGAACAAAAGCATTAAGATGTATAAAATTTGTAGAATAGTTTCTGACCCCTTAGCTATAGCATCTTCATGCTGAAAACAGGAGAAATCTCAAATGTGATCAATCAAAACCAGAACATCTTTGTTTCTGCTCAGCAGTTTGACTATAATGTATTCCACCACATCACCACAGCTCATAATTCCAATTTAGAGTATCTTAATACATACAGATTGTCATACATGCAGATATAGGAAGAGACAAAGCAGAGTTATTTTTGCTGGAGAAGTAATACATTAGTAGGAAAGCCACGTTATAAAATGTGCTCATATAACCTTCATAGGGCTAAAACTATATTGTAGTCTGAAAAAGGACAAATTTTTCATATTCTTGACATTTTTATTTATTTATTAAAAGTATATGCCACCAAACCATCTCACTCTACAAAGTGACTCTATTTTTATGATTATTTACACAAATAGATTCAAGTATTGTTTAATGTGTGAATGGGAATGTATTTCCGTATCTTTTACAGGTTTTAAAATAAAAGGTGAATAAAAATAATTCAACTGTTAAATACTGTAGAAATTATTCTAGTCACAAATGTATGACATGGTGAAGAACTGTCAGAGACCTCAAGTTATATGTCAAGTATTTCCTCTATTTTTTTCTAGCAGAGTTCAGATTTTACAAAACCTGGATTGAATTTTATTAACAACTGTTATTTTAATTAAACTGGTTTAATTAAACCAGTAAAATAACCAGGTCAAAAATGATTTCTTAAAAAAACTGACTAAAATTGTTTTAACCCATAGAACGACTCACTTATAAGGCAAATGAGCACTCATGGAAAATTCAGTAACTTTGTTGACATTCTCCAGTCTATGTAGAACAGATTGCATAAACCTTGTCAGCAGTTATGAACTTTTGGGTTTTTTTGTTTTTTGTTATGTAAATTATTAAAACATCATGGAAAGTTTTTGCAACGTATTACATAAACCAAGGATCAGAAACACTGCCTGCAAACATTATGGCACGAATGAATTTTACAATTCTGCAGAAGTTCAAGTTTAAGTAAAAATTCAAAATAATCTCATAAGATTTTGAATGAGAATATCAAAATCTTATGAAATTAAGATACTTTGGGATTTGGGCAATTGTCTCAAATTATTTTTATTTTATTTTATTTTTCTATCAAACTTTTTAATTGCCTGCTCCCGCATTTAAGTGACTATACTAATGTCTGTCATAGACCCCATAATTGACTGTGAGCTCAAGATTGAAAGTCATTGGTTTGATCATCTGGGTTAGATCAGATGGCATTAATGAAGTTGTTTAGTACTATTAACATATTAGGTATACGTGCACCACAACTAAAGTGGATACTGTTGTGCCTTTTCTTTCTTTTCCAAAATCCCCACTGATTTTTGTTCACACTTACGGGATGGGATGTATGTGTTACATGGAAACAACCTCATAAGAATTAAATTTATCTTTTAAATATTTTTAGCCTGTGCAACTATGGTATATGCTGAAAATATATAGTCAATGCCCATTTCAGCAGGATTAAATGTTCTTTCCTACATATAGAAAAATGAGAATAAATGAATAAAAATTAAAGTGATGCTAGAGTCATTTGTATGTTGTTATGCCCTATTTTCTTGTTGCAGCATGTTAACCTTTTAGCCTAATATAGCCCAGTCCCTAGTAATGGTTATCTTTCTGAGGGTGGTATAGATATGTGGTACAAAATTTGTTCCTGAGTTAAGCTTGGATTGCTGGTTTCAGCAATGTGAATTTAGTTTTAGAATAACTGCCTTTCTCTGTTTTTCAGTTATGTTTTGAATTAATAACTCAGTATTGAGGGAGAAGGCCTCCTTTTGGGAAAAACTCTCTCTACATACTGAAAACTCTTCAATTTTATTACTTCATCTGTTTTCATATTGATTGCTTAAATTAATTTTTCATATGGGTGGCATATGGGTTAAACAAAAGACATGTCTCAGCAGACTGAAGTTGGTGAGGTAGGAACCACTGAATCTCATGCTAGAGAAAGATATTATGTAAACATACCCTCAGTCACTTTCCAAGGCTAGTGTCTACGTTAGGAATCATAGCTGCAGGTCTCTTCTCCATTATCATCATCAGAGTTTCAGTGATATTGACAGGTATTCTCATTCTAAAAGTACTAGTAAAAGCCAAGTACTTAAGTGAAGGCATCAGTAGACCTATTCAGAGAAGCAGCAATTACAACAGACATCTTTGTGAACTGCCTACAGTTTTGCAGCTAGATCTATAGCACTGGAAATGGTGACACGAACCGTGCCTATGGCTCAGATATTGGGAGAAGGGCCACCAAACAAAATAGCTCATTGCAAAGACAATGATGGTAGGGTGGGGATGGGGAGATGAGAAGAAAGAGAAGTACCAGACCGTATACATACGAGGGCAATTCGGAAATAAACCTCCATTTGGTTATCAGTAACAGACACTCACAGATACAGAACTTTTATTATGCACATTAGAAAACTACATCATTACATTACTTTATGACATAATCGCCACTCAAATTGAGGCACTTGTCATAATGTCTTACAAGGTTTGAAATTTCTTAGTAGTAGTCGCTGGGCGCCAAATCTGGGCTATTGGGGGTGATCAGAAACATCCCAATGGAATTGCTTCAAAAATTATTGGGTGCGTCTAATGGTGGGTGGGCAATCATTATCGTGAACCAACACCACACTGGAAGTGGTGTCATAGAAAATCCCGCCAAATGTGAAGATGCCAAAGGAGTACTGCTAGTGAAGTTCATGGACCATGGTTCGAGCATCAGTTCAGAAATCTACTGTGAAACATTACAAAAACTCAGACAAGCCACCCATAACAAGAGTCGGGGCATGCTGACTTCTGGTGTGGTGTTGGTTCATGATAATAACACGCCTGAACACCGATAGACACACCCAAGAACTTTTGAAGCAGTTCTGTTGGGATGTTTTTGATCACCCACCCCCCCATAGCCCAGATTTGGCGGCGAACGACTACTACTAAGGAATTTCAAACCTTGTAAGACGTTATGACAAGTGCCTCAATTTGAATGGCAATTATGTTGATAAGTAATGTAATGTTGTATTTTTCTAATGTACATAATAAAAGTTCTGTATTTGCGAGTGTCTATCATTGATAACCAACGGAGGTTTATTTCCGAATTGCCCTCGTATATTGGAGGCTGGAGATGGGGGAAGCATTTCCATGAGCTAAAGGTTTTACATTGATTTTTCTGTATGGAGACACTTCATTTGCTGCCCAAAAGAAATTACCATTTTACTAATTGGGCCCTTGTACATATGCCAGCTTTCAAATTGTACAAGAAGACTGCAACGTTTTCCTTAAATTTAAGCAAAGTATTGTACCAAAATAGAATTATGCATATGTGAACACCAGAGATGTACTTGAAAGATAAAATATCGCCTCTAGCTTTCCAAAAGCAATATTCACGTTTTATGAGAGGCAGTGAGGCAAGGAATTTCACAATTATCTAAGGCTTGTTTTTGAAACTTAAGCTTCAGGAATGTATTTCACATGTTCTTTAGCACACTCTTTGGTTCAGTATCTTACTATATGTTGCAAAAAAATGGAAGAACCACCAATAAAAGTTTTCTCTCTTTCACACTGCATTCCATTAATTTAACACTTTTCCAATTAAGTATTAGTTAATTGCACAAGAGAGTAATACAAGTTTGTAGATGAGAGCAGAGTGTTAGAGTGGGAATTTACTAGTCCTCTAGTCTAGCCAAGTTAGAAATATTAATGTTGCTTTTTGGAGTAATAGATTCCAGCTCTTTAAATATAATTTGATACAAATATACTGTTAAAGTGTTCCAACAAACCATGGCTTAAATGTGGCTTACTATGTCCAGAGAATTCAAGCGTTCTTTCCTCCTTCCTATATTGTGCCACGATACATGGAAACACTTCTAGTTAATCTGTATTGGACTTGCATAAAACGTATCCTGTGAACTATTCAGATCATCACACATTACAAGAACTATCACGGCCACTGAGATATGAGAGCTACAGTGCTGCAGTCTGACATGCTATCAATGCTCTAATTATAATAGGGAAGATTATTCCAGGAATTTTTGTTTATTCTGCTGTCTAGAGAGAGGCAGACTATAAATAACTGTGAAGTAGTCCATCTGCTCTTAGGGTTGCTGTGTTTCAGAGTAGAAACCTCATATTCTTTGCTTATGTCTTTATGTCTTAGGTAAGATTTTCCCCACTTTATAAAATTCACTACCTTAAATGCTTGAGAAATATTTAATTTTAGGTCTTGGAAAGGAATAAGTGATATGTTTGGGAGGGATTATTTTTATTATAAAATCAACGTGCAATTGAATCTCAAAGTATCTTGGTATACCAATCGTACGTTAATCATAATTTATTTGTCATCAAGTTACTCAATATATTCATTCTATTAAGATGACCTCAAAATCCAAGCAACGTATTTAGTCCTTTGCTATTGAGCAAAATGGAGAAACAATATGTTCTACTAATCATACCTGTTTCTATATTTAGAACAACTATAATGAGGCTGTTTCAGAGAAACTATTGAACCACAGACAATCAACTCTTTTATTTTACCATTATCGATGTCATTTCTTTTCAATAACTGTGTTCATAGCATCTGAACGGTGCAATAGTAATACAGAAATAATACTTTTCAATACATTATAATAAGCACCTTAATACCAATTTATTTCAAAGCAATAAAATAACCCAAGCAATTCATCTTAACATTTACAGTCTAACATTGATAATATTCTATCGACTATTTATATTTACCATGTAATAGTGTAACGATTGCTCACATTCATTCAGAGTTAGATGTCACATGCACAGATCCAGTGAAATGAAAGGTAACATCTTGAAACCCTGTGTTATAGGTTGTGAGACTTTTCTAATTCTCTTCCTATCCCTTCTCCCACTTCTAAATTTGCAACAGAATAGGGCTTTGGTGTCAAAATCAATGCCTTCCTTCCTCTTCCTGACCAGAAGTCTTTATACTAGCAAATAAATTAATTCAATACCACCCAGGGTTTTTTTTTATAGCTTGCAGCAGATCTCTCATATGCTTTCCTCTGTTGGTAAATAATGTGGTGCCTGCGGCCATCCATGTACCTTCAGTCTCCTTCCTTGTTCTTAGCAAGCTCTCCAATTTTATTGTATTGTATTGTATTGTACTTTGTTTTAAGATTGTTTGAAATTGGATGAAAAGGGGAAAGCTGCTACAGTGCAAAACACCAACTTTATCGAATATTTTCATTTATAAGAAGACTTCCGTGTCCTACATAGGCTTGAGTTTATATTCTTAGAAAATAAAAATGTTCAGTACTTCCTTTGGCAGAACGCTCACCTGTTCAGAAAGAAAAGACAAAGGTGTAAAAGAGATTATTTGGGAGTTGTGTGCTAGAGAGTATTAAATTAATCATTTTGCTTCAAATAAATAAAGAGGGAGGACTCCTAGCTCTCTAGACCCCACTTCTCCACACATGATAATCTTGGGTGACATTTTTCTCTCTCTAAAACATAGACCTGTTTAAGTCCAAAAGTAACTGGTTAAGCTGTATGTGTTTTGAGCAAACCATCCATCTCTGAAACAAGAGCCTGAACATCTGAGACCTCTCCCCATACCTCTTCATACTTCAGAGGCCAAAAATAAAAAAGGTGCAACTTCCAACTAGATAGAGATAAGATGCCCACCCTTGCAGTAAATGAATATTTTATAATTAGCTGTGCCCACCATGAGTAAATTCTGCTAAACAACTGACAACAAGACTGGCTAATCTTTAGAAATTCTAGCATAATTGTAGTTAAGAGCTTCGTTAAACTACAACAAAATAGCAAGATTGTATTGGTCCCTTTCTGGCTATTTTGCTTAACTCGATTGGCTAGCCTTCCATTGATGCAAAGAAGATGAAGTTTTATTTATTTTAAAGAATACAATCTGCTGTGTTTCAAAATTTCTACACCCACATAACAATGACAGTTATGTCGCAGTTCCTTTGTTTTTTGCACATGTGTGGCTTGCTGATATGTCATGTGAAAAACCACATGTTCTAACCTAACAAAAAAGATAAGCATCCTAAAAAAAAGTTAATAGTAAACAGAGTTCTATGACGCATATCCCTTTTAGTTAAAAAAAAAAAAACCTAACTACTTTAGGCATAGCAGCTGCATGTCCCTAAATACTTCACCAACATTCGCATCAGTTGTGGGTTTAGCAGTGACTATGAAAGTGTGGATCATATTTTTTCTTCCTTCTCACTGAGCCACAAAGCTAGTTAGTCTGTTTATAAATATGTGGGTTAGCCAGTTTGTAAACAGCCCCTCTGACCTTTTTTAAGACTAGCTAGCTTGTCCATATTGTTTTGGAGAAGTTAATAGAAGGAATGAACCTTTCACCTTCATACAAAACAATTTTTGTTGTCTTTCTATAGTTGAATTATCTTTTTTGTACAGCCCACCCGTTTGCTTTTTGAATGTTGTAATATTGATGCACTTCTTATTTTAACACACGATTTGTCGTTTTCCATTTCTTTCAACAACTCAGCTTTTCCATCCCGTTTATTATTGTTATATCTATGCATTAGGCATATGGAAATCATTTTAAATTTGAACCATTTCAGATTTAAAATGTCCCATTCGGAATATGAAATGGATTGTTCCCTCAACCCGAAAGTACTTTGGAACATTGGCACCTTGAAACATTTCCAAACCCACTTCACATTTAAAACAGAGCATTTTGGATCTGATACAGCTTGAATTCTTAATGTTTTGGGTGCCCGTACTATAGATTTAATTAGGATAAGAGTAGTATCACTTTGGAACAGTGTCCATCTCTAGTTGCTGTAATGGCATGGCAGAGAATTCTCTTATCTAAACCTGGATATGGTAATGTGTCCATTTTAATGTACCCAGTGCTAGGGTTGATGCTAGAACAACCAGTCATTTCAATGAGCAACTTCTATCAGAAAAGAACTGGAGGATTATAAACTCACTCATTCTCTCTGATCTCTCAGTTTTTATATTATTTATAGTATTTTGGTATAACTATGGTATAAGAGTAGGGAACAGAGTATTAAGTAGTTCTGTTTCCGTAATCCAGAGCAGGTTTTGCAAAGTTGGGTTTCTACTGAAATGCATATTTTTTGCTGCAAGGTCCCATGGAATTTGATCTTCTGTACTCATCCGTGCATATATACCTGTTATCTACAATTTCTAGTAAAGTATCAAATGCTAATTAATCTCTTACCCTGGAATCAGTAATGGGCTGAATGAGGAACAGTACATTTAAACAAGCCTTTAATAACTTTTAATTGATTTGATAGCTTCAACTGTTCCTGGATAGAAATAGCTTGTCTATAGTGTGCATCTTGTGATTTTAGATTAATGTTGGGGTAATGTTGAAGATGATAAAAAAAATCAAATAGTTACAGATAGGTTTGTCAGAATTGTAACAGAAGCAACTAAATGGAAGTAGGTTATACAGGTTCTTAATGAATTACACTAGTTATATTTGTTTTCAAGTTCAGAGAGTTTGTTCTTATCTTTGAAGTTCTAAACAATTTAAGATCCATATTGTCAAAGAAGTATGCATACTATACAGCATCTTAAGAGCTTCCAAAAACACTTTTCCCAAATTCATTTGACAGGAGAATCTCATTGTTTAAAAACTACATAGAGACCTTCTCCATATCAACTCCTATAGCTAAAATGCTCTCTCCAATAATGTTTGACTAACACTGCTATTATATTGTCATTAAGCTAACATATTCTTACTTGCCAGCCAGTTAAAATATTCCACTGATCTATTTAACTTGATGTTTTCATGCTTTGGATTTGTTGTTGTAATATTTTGGGATTTCATTATGTTGTAACTGTAGTACTTTTGATTTGTATTCTACTTGAGCGCTACCCTGATATTCTAAGAAGAAAACAAGATTAAAAATAATTTTGGTGAATGAATAAATAAATAATAATCTCCTTTTGCCTACAGTACTGCATACTTTTAGTATGTATTTTCAGCTGTTACTCTTGGTATTACCGCGTGATATTACTGCTTTGGGCAAACATGATCAGACACATCTGTAGGCTCTTAGGTAATAAAACATCCTTGAAATAATATTTTAGTGACTTCCATTGTCCTAATTAAGACAAGCAATTGGTCTAGCGCAGTGGTTCTCAACCTTTCTAATGCCGCGACCCCATAATACAATTCCCCATGTTGTGGAGACCCCCAACCACTTATACATCACCGGGTGCCAGGGGCGTGGCCAAAGAAAAGGGGGAAAAAATGGCGGACAGCCTTGTTTGGCAACTCCCGTGAAATGATTGTTCGACCCCAAATGGGGTCCCGACCCACAAGTTGAGAACCACTGGTCTAGCAAGTAAAGTTAAGTTATGAATCTTAATATAGTACCTTTATTTTCCAGACCTGCACTAGTCAAGCTGTCTTCCGTGTCCAGTCTGGTATTTGTCAGCTTTTTCGAGAAACTCTCATTCATAAGGGGTTTGTGGAAATTCAGACTCCAAAGATTATTTCTGGTATGCATTCGATACATTAATAGATTCAGAATTCACACATCGAACACATGAATTTGGGGAAATCTTATTTCTGCAGTAGCCAGTATGAATTTATTTTAAGTGCCTGGTTGCTCATTAGCACTTCTTTTTAAGTTGCTGCTGCCTCCTTTGAAACAGTAGCTGATTAAAAAAGCTGAAACACTTTCCATTCCCAAGTATGGTATGGAAAGAAATTCTCCTTCTTTAGTTTCTTCTGCTGTCGTTTTCATCTTTGAAACTGACACTTATATATCGAGAGTATATAAAAGAAGTCCTGTGGGGTTAGAGCAGTGGGTGGCATTGAAGAGTCTATATGCTAACCTGGTCTATAGAACTTACCTGTCCGTCTCAATACTGCCCGTCATACAAAGCAGTGAGTAGCCTTAAAAATTGCAAGATCTTTGTCTTGTGATTCCTCCTTTTCCTCCTCATCTCCTCTCTTGCGTTTCTGTTGCTGTTTCCTGCTCTTCTGAAATAAGCTTGGATGCTCTTGGATGCTCTGCTAAAGTGAAAGATTCCAATTGAGGAATGAGTTCGAAAGTCCCTTTGTTGTAGGCGAGGGGGGAAACTTGACCTGCTGACCCAGAGCTTTGGAGTAGGGTAGGAGGGCTTAACTTGGGTTGGCTTGAGGGTTGCACTGGGGTTTGGGGTGGAATGTTGAAGGCAGCATTCCCAAAGTAGGCAGGGCCAGATCAAAGGTTTGTGGGAGGAAGGTTAAGGGGTGAAATAGATCAAATAGATCCTTTTAGTTGCTCCCAATTCCAAAAATGCCAAAAAATAAAATAGCCCATTTTTATTTTTATTTTGCCTGTTCACAGTGACCTCTGGGGACCACTGAAGGTTTGTTGGCAGGCCACATATAGCCACTAGATTGGGTTGTTTTTTTTTTACCTTGAAAGTAAGGGGAAGAAACCAGGTATATGTAAACTATAAAAAGGCAGAAAACCATTTATTTTTATCATGATGTACCTTGTTCAAGACGTGTCACCACATTTGCTCTTGCTTTACTTTCCAGCTGCCAGTGAAGGTGGTGCCAATGTATTCACTGTGTCCTACTTCAAAAGCAGTGCCTACCTTGCACAGTCCCCTCAGCTTTACAAGCAGATGTGTATTTGTGCTGACTTTGATAAGGTTTTCTGCATTGGGCCAGGTAAGGAAGTGTTTTGTTTGAAAGGCAGTTGTTAAAGCCTCTGGAGCAAGAATATCCTGAATGTTCATAATTATGCAAGCGCTAACTTTGCAACCTCTTTTCCTGTCTGATTTGCTAACAGACGAAAGTGTCATGAAAACAACTAATCAATGTGACAATTTCACAGAGTTTGCAGGCTGAAATTTGGCTTATGGACAGCGCAATAGTGTTCTCTAGTGGCTCTTAGAATATCATACAACATTCCACTAAAAAAAGTGACTGTACTTGGCATGGTTCAACCATTACTGAATTTATTGCAAACCTACAAGCTTAGCGGGGCCAGAAGTTTGTTATAAGCAGCTTGCTGGAAATCAGTACAGCCCTACGTAATGCATACAAAATATTTATGTTCTCCATTTTGTAGGTAAACCCATATTAGTAAGCCAAACCAATATTATCCTTCACCCATCCTATTGATCCTGACGCTTTCAGTATGTAACTAACTTGAGCTAAATTGGCAGCAGTATACCAAAACCCTACATGCTTTCAGACACACTAATTGTTATGCCATTTTTTGCTTGGTATCCAAATGACAAACTAAAAGCATGTGCAATTACTGAATGACAGATCAATCCTTAAAAATGATTATAGAAGATTTCCACTTGTATTTTCCTGGTAATATTCATTAGTCTTACTGCTGGGATAGTGAATTCTCATTCAGATGTATTTTGGATGGAAGTCCCTCAGGACCAGATGCAGTTAGAAAAGGAAGGAAAATACACGTGACCTAAGTTGCAAGTTTTCTTATGTCATATTGGATGGTAGCCTTTTAAAAAAAGTAATGCTTTCAAATATTGCTTTTGTTGATTCTTATTTCTTGCCTGACATGAATGTAAGATTAGCATAAATATTTGTTCTCCATTTGGGGATTTGAGGAGTTCCTCTCAAGGAAATAGAATTTTACTTCATATTAGAGCCATTCATAATAGCAATGGATGTTGTAATATATCCAGGGTTTTTTTTAATTGCATCGATAGAATCGTTTAACATACTGTAATTGTAAAAGTATATTTCTCATGCAGTATTTAGAGCAGAAGATTCTAATACTCACAGACACTTGACGGAATTTGTTGGTCTGGATATTGAAATGGCTTTTAATTACCATTATCATGAGGTGGTGGATGAGATTGCAGATATCTTGGTGCAGATTTTCAAGGGACTCCAAGAAAGGTAAAAAAAAAAAGTTTTTTATACTACCGTTATTTAGAAAATAAGATAAAACTTGAGAGTTTCAAAAGTAGTATGAATAACAGTTTACACATATTCAAACAAATATTCTGGCTACCTTTTATTTTACCTGTAATGGAGGAATTCTAAAGCATTGTTCTGGTTCATAGTTGCAGCAACCACTATTCCAGAAAGATCTAACAGTATCTGAAGTGTTTAATCAACAAGATGTGAACCTCAGCTGCCAAATGTTGGAGTCACATAGTGATTACTCTTTATCAAAGAACGTTGGAGACCATTTATCCAGTGAAATAGATGGATGGGAGGTAAAATAAACAGAAAATTAGACTAAGAAATCAAAGATGCCTAAAAAGCTGCAGTAGAAAACCACTTCCATATTGCTGCAAAGAAATCTTAACAGATGTATCCATATAGTAATCAGTACCCGACTTCAGTTGGAAACCCATTGTCTTTTTCTTAGGTTTCAATATTAAAAAAATACTTTAAATTATTTAAAAAATTTAACTCAATATGTAGCCTGTGTCTATATATTTCTTCATATTCATTGCAATTATTGGAAATTTACTTCAGCATTATATTTTTATAGCATACCTTGGAAAATCAGACTGCAAATTTTGAAATAAAAGGACCATGGCATATAAAACCATAGCCTCAAGTGTATGGATTAAAATAAAATTGAAAGAAGAGTAGCTTTCTTCATTTATTTTTTGTTTATGCAGCCTTTATTCAGATTAATGCTTGAAGCTCAATTTATTGAGAATAACTTTTGTAAAATTTAACTTGCTTAGTCCTTTAGCACATCAGATTGTCCAGTAAATGCTTTGACATATACAGTGTAAATGTCGGTCACCTTATCTCAAGACATTATTTTTCCTTGCAGGAAAGCAATAAACTGAGTCTTAAATATTACAGGGACAGAGTGAACTCTTGTGGTAATGAAAGGCAATGCTTCTTTGTTTTCTGCTTGGCTATGTTGAAAAGCCTTTTGTCTTTACACACAGGTTTCAGACTGAAATCCAGACAGTGTGCAAACAGTTTCCATGTGAGCCATTCAAGTTCCTGGAGCCAACACTGAGGCTGGAGTACCGGGAGGCCCTGGCTATGCTTCGGGAAGCTGGAGTGGAGATGGGAGATGAAGACGACCTCAGGTACGATTTTATCAGGGAAAAGGAGGGAGCGCCATCTATTGGCAAGAGGGTACCAGTTCCTGGGAATCCTCCGATGTTATTTCTGGATTTAGCAATTGGCTACCCCTGCTCATCGCTGCAGAAAATAGAAAAACTTTTAAATCTCTATAAAATGACACATCATTCCCCTGTAACAATATGATCTCCACATCCCAAGGCATGGATAGATCTCCAGAGAATAAGATTAAAACAAATCTAGAATTACCAAAGGGTTTTCTAAATTGATCAAACCATGAATTATACGAAACATACATGTACCAATTCCAAACTGAACTTTTGGGAAGCAAACAATTCATTTATCAAAATGCTACTGGTTATCTTCTGTAAATTATGAGGACCTCCGGCAGTACTTTCTGGTTCAAAGTTTAAACATGTTCTGAGCGGATAGCCGTACTAGTTGATCTTGCCTCAGCTCAAAAGTTCAGCAGAACCTGATATGGCTAATACTTGTACTGGTGTTTGACAGGAAAAAATAGTGCCGTAGGAAGGACTTAAAAAAAAAATCAGGGGAAGCAAGTAATCTAGAGCAGGGCTTTTCAATCTTTTCACCCATTGTACCACTTTTAGGATATAGCAATATCCGAGTACCACCAGTCGCCTAGCAAGGTGCCAAAAACTTGACCCCCCCCAAAAAAGGAAAAAAGTGATGAAGTACAGGTAGCTCTTGACTTACAACAGTTCGATTAGTGACTGTCCGAAGTTACAATGGCACTGAAAAAGTGCCCCCCAAGCTACAGTCAAGCAAGACACCTGCCTGCCCACCCAGCGGTGCTCTTTCTCCTGTCCGAGGTTTTCATTGTTGTGAGCATTTCTGTTGAGGATTGGCAGCAGGGGTGGGGTGGGGAGTGTTTGGTTTTTATTCCCCCCATCTGCTGGGTGGTTGCAGCAGGTTTTGGTCACTTCACATGACCCTGGGACATTGTGACCGTCATAAATATGAATCAGTTGCTAAGCATCTGAATGTAAATCACAAGACCCTCGAAATGCTGCAACATTCCAGCTGATCAGCGCTTCTTCTGAGCTCAGCAGAAACGCCAGGATCAGCGCTAAGCTCCAGCTGGAGCCTGGCACTGATCCTGATGCTTCCACTGAGCCCTGACAGCCCCGAAGAAGCGCTGATCCTGGCACTTCCGCTGAGTCCTGACAGCCCTGCAGCTCCAGCTATCTCTCGCTCAGGCTTGTGCGGTGCTGCCACCAGTTCAGCTCATTTCCCTCCCCCACTACCACTTTTCTGGTATGGTCGTGTATCACCTGCCAGGTGCCAATATACCACAGGTGGTACTCATACCGCTGGTTGAAA